TGGCTGGCTGAGGAATTCTGGGAGTTGAAGTCCGCACATCTTGAAGTTGCCAAGTTCGAAAAACACTAGTTTACGGCCTCTTCCCTGTTGATTCCATGTCAGTTTGGTGAAAAGCAATAGTTGTAGGAAAGCAAGTTTGTCAACAGGAACTAAGCTTGTTGAGCCTCAAATGTTGGTGGGACTTGACAGTTCAATAGTTATCAAGTTTTGTATCAGATGCTATACTTGGGGGCTGTTCCATGCTGCTTTTGAACTACTTCCTGGGAAAGTTGGAAACCTAAAATTTCTTAACTAGTTATAATTCAGTTTTGGTGTGTATACACGACTTCCAGGGAGGGTCACATCTTTCTCTTTCTGAGCAAGTGTGTGCATGTTTCTCATTCAACCAAGAACTTCCTCTGTGTCTTTTGGGGATGTTTCTGTGCAGCCTCCCTTGGTCCTCCCGATCATGACTCCCACAGTTCAGTAAATTGTGGAGGTCATAAATTGTGGGAAGTGGGTTCTGGAGTGCTCTCCAGATACCGTATCGCAACCAAGATTGCTGCCTGAACAAAGAATGCAAACTCGTAGTAACCTCTTTCTGCTTATTTTTTTGACATAACTGATCTTTTTCTTTTGCAAGAAATTCAGCAACTTTCAAGTCTTTCGAAGACAGAGTTGGAACCATAAAGGTAATCTTCCTCCCATCATACATGGCAGATTTTTCTGTTTTTTTGCAATGAGCGCAAATCCTGCTCTCTTAATGGGTTGGATGTGTGCAGAGGAAAAGAGCTTGTGTTATGTGAGATGAAAAAGGGACACAATTGGTCTTTATGTGAGAGGGTATTGATGGGGCCCCAACACTCTCTTTTCTAGTCCTTGAAAAGGAATTGTGCAGCCAAGTTATGGGTACAAATTGCTGATCCTCAGTGGCATGATTTCCTGCTGATTTTTAGTATGGAACAAAACATGTGTTAAGCTGTTTGGACAGGTTTAGTACATCTAAAATAGCCCCCTGTGATAAAATTGGCCCTACCCACTTGTGTGAGTCCATCACCCCACCCTACCGCTGCAGTGTCCAGCCACCAAAAATATTGATGAAGCAAGTATGGATACCACCCCAGGCTTGTACAGAAGAGAGAAAACAGTCCCAAGGCTTTTCTTCCTCCTGCCGTTTGCAGCATTCATCTTGAACCCAGCTTCTAGTTCCTGAGTCCAGCATAGGCCTCCTTGCTTTCAGACTTTGTAGAAGGAGAACCGTGCTAGTCTATGGTGGCAAAAAATCAAGAGGAGTCTGGTAGCCCTGTTTCCGACTAACGGATTTTATTAAAAGGCAGAAGCTTTTGTGAGCTGCAGTTCACTTTGTCGGACGCATAGAGTGGCTGGACTGATGTAGGGTTTAAATTGGGATAAGAGGTAGGGGGTGAAGGAGGGGAAGTCAGGCTGGCTGCGCAGTTGCAGATTGCAGGTGAGAGAGACACAAGGACCTTTTCGGTTAACAATTGGTGTATGTTAAAATCCCAATGGGTCTAGCCATGCTGTGCATCTCATGAAAGCTTGTCCCTTTTAATAAACTGTTTAGTTGGAAAAGGGGCTACCAGACTCCTGCTGACTTTTGGCTTGCAGACTGCGATTCTCACTCTACTCTGGTGTTCTAAAACTTCAATGTGGACTTTTTCTTCGGCCCATCCTTCCACCCCGCTGGATTTCTGCAACTTGTTGTAAACCCCAGGAAGGGTTTCTTCCCTTGCTCCAGCCTGTGCCTCTGTTTGCGCTGTGTTCGGAATGAGAGCCCATTTCTCTCCTGAGGTCCGTGAGAGGCTGGTTTCCTCTGTTAGAAAATGCACGCAAATGGGAGGGAGGGAGGGAGGGAGGGGGAAAAAACAGCCCCAGAGGAGACGCTGGTCTGCTTAACTTGAACTCATCTTTCTCTTTCGTTCAGTCCAAAGTTGTGGGTGGCAGAGATAACGGTGCCGATCAGCTCCATTCCCCGACAGCATCTGGAGACAAGCCGTCCCAGGACAACGCACCTTTCTAAGTCTACGGCATGGTGGTGCCTGACTGCCGGAGCCCCACCCTTTGCTCTTCCCAACATGCAAGACAAAAAAAGAAAAAAAGAAAAAGAGAGAGAGAGTTGCGGTCCCACTCGGAAGAGAGAGATCCATACATCATATGTAGACATTTTTTGCTGCTGGATTCTTCAGGTCCAATAAAGTGAACACACCGTGTTTTGTACACTTACCTATTTTACACTAAAGGTTTCTAGATGGAACACCTTGCTGTGCTTCCGTTTGGAAGGGTATCAGCAGGAGGGTTCTGCTGTTAGGGCCCAAAAGGCCCTTTTAGGCTTCAGAGGCTTGTAGCCACCCCCCTCCCCCTTAGTCCCCCTCCAGTTGCAAGCAGAAATTTGAGTTCTTTATGCAATATGGAGGAGGATAATTTCAGGAAGTGTTTGCTGTACATAAACAGCTAAACACTCTATCTTTACTCCATCTTTTGGTATAGCTAGCTGGCTTTCAGTTATGCTCATTTGCTTTTTGGGCTGTTAGAGTGCCCATGACTGCTTTGGAATTCTCCAGCCTCTGTTTAGATCTATAAACCAAGTTTACTTAGTGGGGTTAGAGATATTCCCCCCGCCCCCTGGCTTTTCTGGGATTCTCAGAAAGTACTCTCTACTTAGCTACAGCCTAGCTTGCTACACTGGATTCTCTAAGCTTTAATAAATCTCAGAAACTTTATTTTTTAGAATTGCAGTGGACTTCACACCGCACAAGCTTTTAGCATTGTGAATTAGGGGCCACCTGCCTTTCAGATGCGGGAGCTGAAACACAAGCCTTACATCACCACCTGCTTTACTTGTTTATAATCTTTTTATATCTTGAAAGTGTGAAGAATGTTGTGGGTGGGGAAGGAAAGGAAAGGAAAGGAAAGGAAAGGGGTTGATGCATCCTACCATAGAAACTGCATGTGGCTCTTACGTTCATTTCAGTGGCGCGTGGCTGTGTTGCACACATGCTTGTTTGCACGCATGCTCTCTCTCTCTCCCCCCCTGAGTGTATGGAATTTGCTTCTCTGCCCCTTGGATTTTGGTCTTGCCTTAGAAGGTCCTGGAGCAGCAAGGGGCACCATGATTACTGAGGCACCCAAGTTCTGTTCTAGTGGGTTTTCTTTCTTTGTTCATTGTTTCTTCCAGGAACTTTCATAAAATACTTTATAGATTCTGGTGTTGAGATTCTGTTCATGGCCTTTGCAACCAGTTGATGTCACTGGTGACCCCTGTGTGTTGGCTGCTCTTGCCAATTACGCTTGGAAACACTAATATATTAAGTAAGGCTAAGAACCTGCCATTCTCCTGACCTTGTAGCTTGAAAGCAGAGGCGCGACTAAGCGATCCAAACCCTCTGTGCCTTAGAGGCTCAGTGGGATGTGAAGCAGTGCCCCGTAGTACATACCAACAGAGACATTTGCCCCCAGAAAGAATTATCTGGTGACCCTTCCTCTCTCCAGTCTCCTGAGAAGCACGTTTTGACACTTAAGTGCTGATGATAAAATTCTTCCTGCCTCCTTTTGTTGCTGTTGGATGAATACCTTACTGGTCAAACCTGGCACCAGAGAGGCAGGAGATCTGCAGGAGATGAGATTTGTTTTAGTTTCTTCAGAGTGAAATAGTCGCCTGTATTGGAAAGGGGAGAAATGGTGTTGATGGGACAGAGAGCTGCAGGAACAGGCTAAGCTGTTTCTCCTGTATGGGTGGGGGGGAAATTTGTCAATAAAATATTCCTTTTGGAAAAAGCAAAGCGCTTGTCTGTACTGTATGTTTTTGGCTTGCCAATCTTCATTTTAGGCAAGAGCTCCCTGGCTTGTAGCGATCTTTTCCGGGTGGCAGATCAGATGGTTCCGAATGGAAGGTTGCTTCCAAATCCCTCTCCTTGCTCTGCGGTTGAACTGCAGTCTGCCAGGCCAGCAGAGCGAAACCGAGGGGAAGGCCGGCCCCCAGTTGGAGGCTTAGCCTATGACGGATGAAAGAAAGAGGCTGAAGATGGGGCCAGAGGATGACCAGTGGTGGGGTAGGAGAAATGACGTTAGCAGCAAGGAAGCAGTTTTGGAGAAATGTGTTGGAGAGAGAAGTTCCTCAGGTGGGAAGCAAAGAATATCAGCACTGGAAATCTGAAGACTAACGAGATGGGGATGTCACGGTGCCCAAGCTATATATGCAGATCCCGTGCGTGGTTTCGGCTTGTGTGAAGCCGCACAAATCGGGACGATTCTGCTATCCGTGTCTTATTGTTATGAGGGAACCAGGACGTGTACCTGTTGACTGTGGCCTACCTTATTCCCCGATTAAAATGTGACGGGAACGGCTACTGTTAGATGCGATACAGTTGAACTCTGCATTCATAAGAAACATCCCACAGCCGGATGCTTATTACATTGCCCTAATGGGTATATCCGTGTAATACAATATGTGGTTTCTTATACTTAATATGTTACGTTATTTATAGCACATATAGGATCCCGGGCAGATTGATGGCTTGTGGGATCTGTTTGTGTGTCTTCACTAGAATCTCAAATCCAGGAACAAAATATGACCCCATCATCTATTCACTGTATGTTTGGATGTTGTCCACCCCTGATCAAGGGCACATGGATGCCATAATGTAGCAGTAAACCATTGTTTAATGAGACTGAGACTTGGTTTGCCCTATTTTCCTAACACACCTAACATGGTTAATGAATTAACCTGTTTTCTGGATTCATACAATACACTAACTAAATGGTCTGAGTTACTGCAAAATGCTAATCTGAAAAAAAAAACCTAACCAAGATTACCGCGAACTAAACTTAGCATGTGTGAATGCAGTGGCTAGATACTGTAGTGGCATTACATGAGTGATGTTGAGCCTGAGTTCGCTTTCATTGCTCGTGTCATGCCAAATTGTGTTTTGAGCTTTGCTTCTGAAAAAGGCCACCTTGCTTTGCTAGAAACACTTGAACAACGGCAGGCAGGGTGTAGCTTCACACAACACCCTAGCCAGGCTTGCTGATTATCGTGAGCCAACCAGTGCAGTTAGATGATGGTTCAGTGATGCAAACTCAGAATGCCGTTCAGCAAACAACGGATCAACACGTTCTTCTAACCTAGCTAGAGAATTCAACCTGATTCTGCAGCAGCATTATGCAATCAATCTTTTAGCATTTGGGCTATAAATTAGTTTTTGCCCGTTATCCATGTCTCTTGAAAATGTGCATGTCATTCCGTGTTCATTTCATAGGTTTCTTTTGGGTGTGGGGAGAACATGGAGCAAGGCAGTTGATAAATAAAAAAAATCTTCATATGGTACTGAGAAGAGCTTGGGAGAACAAGGAACCATGACATCCTAGCCACTGAGAACAGCCAGCTGGGCAGCCATCAGAAAGCAAACATTTCTTTGCATAGCATTCTTTTCCTTTTATTTTATTTTTTTTTAATAGTAAAAATAAGTCTATACAGTATAGGGAAAAAATCATCCAAAAGGATTGTACTATTCACATTTCCCTCTCTGGGACTATATATTCCAAGTTTCCTTTTGCACTGGCCTGTTTCAGGGAGAACTTTTCAATGAGCAAACTTGGATACCCACCACACTAATCTCTTTTGGGGCAGGGACAGCGAAGGAAGAGGAAGTACTGTAGTAAGCAAAAGAAATTAAAGGCAAGAAATTCAGCCCAAACCAATTTAAACCAACACCGCTCGCTCTCTCTCTCCATACCTCGGCAAACCATCTCATTTCCACCACCTCTGTCTATTTCACTTTTCACCTCTTTCTGGGAAGTTCTGATCAGCTCCATCCAACCACAACTTTCTCCATCTTCCTCTTGACCCATTCCCTCTTCCTTCATATATTCGTTTGGCAATTTGATCTTTATTCTTGCTCTATGACCTAATTACCTCAATTACCGAAATATTGATTTATGTAGTCACCCGTCTCACAGTTGTGACTGGGTGGCAAACATAAGAGTAAAAGCCAGCAAAAACAGTAACCAACATACAAATAATACTGTAAGAACATGGTGGTGCCCGAGGTGGTTTTTCTTCTTCTGTCACACTGTTCCTCTTTCATTACGGGTCAATCAATTTTATATTCATTCCACATTCCTTCTTGACTCCTATCTTTTCTTTCTTACTACACTACCTACTATACTACTTTACTCAATTTACTTTTAAGTTGCTCCTGGCATGCTCAACTCTCACTTCCGTATAACAAAATAGGGAGTAGAACGCTATTTTGCACAACCATTTTTACTGTTTTCAACAAACATTCACAACAGACCATATATTACCCACTACCTTTGTACTGAGTTGCTTAGCGACAGCAATCCTTGCAATCCCAGTTGCTGTCGTTAACTGAATCGCACACTCATTAGGCAAGGCAAGTTCCTATCAGCTTGCCACAACCAAAGCTAGTGAGGAAGCTGGCAGGAAGTTGCAAGTCTCAGCCTGGCAAGCAGGTAAGTGGCTGCCACTGGGTGGGGGAGGAAAAGAGGGAGTGTGTGGGGAAGGTGCAGGAAGGGTATGGCGAAGGTCAGAGAGGATGTGAGGGGGTGCACGAGTGGCCAGTGCAGTGCGAGTGCAGAAGGGCTGGTGGAAGGGGCATGGGTGGGGGAGACTCACCCCAGTGACTTCTGACTTTCTCTGCCAGCTTCCTCACTGACTTTCTGGGGAAGCTGGCAGGGAAGGTTGCAAATGGCGATCATGTGACTGTGGGGTACTGAAAACGGTCATAAGTGCGAACCGGTTGCCAAGTGCCCAGATCATGATCACGTGGCCGCAGGGGTGCTGGGACAGCCAGAACGCCAAGGACTGGTTGTGACCACCATTCGTTCAGCGCTGTCATAACTTGGAATGGTCACTAACCAAATGGTTGTAGGTCGAAGACTACCTGTACTGTTGCTGCTGCAAACTGTTTGGGTTCTCAGCCAACGCAGCATAATTTGCATACAAACATGCACATACATTTTCATCCTCAACCAACACACTTCCTACAACTCCACAAACATTCCTTATATAACTATGTATAAATACTGCATTATTCATCAGCTCCACAAGATCAGTCCGCCTTCAGATCTCTTTCCCTTACAGTACTTGCAGGCATGCAACATCGATTTGTCTTTCGTTTCATTCATTAATTCACACTCTTTACAATGTATTCCTCTGACATTCCAAGTTGCAATCTTCCGCATGCCATGGTCATCACCAGACGCTCCCAGAGACACTGACGTTGGTTGCCCATCATGGCTTTGATTATCTGAACATTCTTCAGTAGGATGGAGAACCTCTAGATCACATTATCAGCCTCAGTTGTATCCATACCACATGCAGTTGCTAACAGGAAGAACATTATCACCAGTGCCAGCAGGAACCTCCTTTTCATGGACTATCCTCAAACTTTCTTGCTTCTTGTTGGTTGTACAGAAATAACCATTTGCTAACTCTTTGGGGTGCAATTGTTTGTTTATGCAGGTAAAAACTCATTTCAGCAGGTCCCAGCGCTCTACTAACGTGACACAGCAGCTACAGGAAAGGAAAACATACATGAAATTAAATTCCCTCCAGGATCGTGCATCTTTTGTAGAGCTTCAGTTCCAACAGGCCGAAATCAAAGCTGTTGTTAGGTCCAAACAGCCTCTTTTCCTCCAGCAACTTCTTTAGCATGACACGCTTAACAAATGAAGCCATTTTCACGATTCATCCAATACATTAACGTATCAAGTAACCAAATGGGACTTAGGGGCTAGCACAATGCGCTAAGCTGGGAGAGATAAAAAACTTAAGGAAAAATCAATTTAGCATGCTGTTGTGGACATTAGTTTATAATCCACCCCATTAAGGATGCTGTGGAAGAGCAACTGGAGCACCATAAGTAGCCCAGCTCAACGTTCCTACCAGACTGTCCAGCTGCTGTTGGCATTACAAATCTCTCCAGGGCTAGTGAAAGCCCAGCCAGGAACGGGGAAAGAAAACTGGAGATGCTGGGCCACTGGGTTTTTGTTCACTGGTTACGACACATGAACGCTGAAAGAATATTGATGTACAGGTAGTCCTTGACTTACGACCACAACTGGGACTGGAATTTCTGTTGCTAAGCAATGCGGTTGTTAAGTGAGTCACACCGAATTTTACAACTTTTTGGTCGCAGTTGTTAAGCCAATCACTGCAGTCGTTAAGCGAATCCGGCTTCCCCTGGGAAGGTCGCTGGTGACGATCATGTGACTCCGGGACACTGCAACCATCGTAAATACATGCTGGTTGCCAAGTACCCAAATTTTGATCGTGTGACCGTGCGGATGCTGCAACGGTTGTAAGTCCTTGCACTTTCACTTTTTCAGTGCAGTCTTAACTTCAAACTGTTGTTAAACAAATGATCATAATTCAAGGACTACCTGTACTAATCAGACTGCAAGGCTAGACTGAGATGTTACAAAGCTGTGCTGGAAAAACGCACCTGGTGACTTGGCTGACTTCAAAAGGCTAAGCAGGATTGAACCTGGTGGTTAATACTTGAACAGGAGACCATTAAGAAATGCCAGGGCGGTAGACTGACTACACTGGGAAGTTTTTTTTTAAAGATCACAGCAGATGGCGATGTCAGCCACTTCCGTACTGATGCCAAGAAGACCACAGGGACATGTCCATATCATCAGAAGTTGCCGATGACTATGGCAGACCTCACCATGCAAAGCAAATCTGAACCTGGTAGTTAACACTTGGATAGGAGACCACCAGGAAATGTCTGGCTTGTAGGGTAGACTAGGAAGTGGAAAGGACATCTCAAAAGATGGGGGGAAATTACATGGCTGGATGCCATGGTTGGGTGCCCCCCAACCCTAAAATGTGCACTCTGTCCCAGCCCAACCTTGAGAGAGTAGGAGCTTTGCACTATTTGGTACCCCCGGTGCTGGCTGTGAATTCTGTGAATTGTAGTCCTAGCCCATCTAGAGGGTGAAGAATGGGAAGGGGGCTAGAAGGGCTTTTTGGAAACCTTTCCGTGTCCCAAGGCATCCATGCAATCCACTTGGGCGGCATGTAAAGTCCAGATTTGGCTTTCAAATTAACATGGTTAATACATTCCTACATTATAATCCTGCATCGCTAATAAAAATCAACGCGTTTTCTCAGGGCAGCAGGCAGACGAGGTGCAGCCGTCTCCATACATTTCTGGGGGAGTGGGAAAATGAAAGCCCCCCCCCCCAGGCAATTCTGAAAGAGGCAGGGACAGCGAAAAGGGCATCTTCCAACAAACGGATCTCATTCTCTCTCTATGCATGTAATGTACGGACATGCGCGATTGTACGCTGCTGTCTCTTCCACCATATACAGTACCTGTGAACAGAACAGGTTGATGGAAGTTGCGAATTGGACAACCAACTTTCGCTATGATAAGGCTCCATGGAAACCCACCACAAGCCTCCCTGGTGGTCTAGTGGTTAGGATTCGGCGCTCTCACCGCCGCGGCTCGGGTTCGATTCCCGGTCAGGGAAGACAAGTTTTACAAAGGCGCGAGCAACCCGCTCCCGGTCCGTCTCGCGGCTCTCTGACCCGCCCCCGGCCCGGGGAAGGAGCAACGGGACGGCAAAGTCCTT